AGCTGCTGCAGGGCGGGGCCGCGACTGCTGCAGGGGGCTCCGCGGCAGCTGCTGCAGGGCGGGGCCGCGACTGCGGCAGGGGGCTCCACGACGAGCAGCAGCAGTAAGAGCAGGGCAGCGTGCAGCTAGAGCAGGGCGGCGCGCGGCCACAGCAGGGCAGTAGCAGGTAATAGCTCCTAGGGCAGAAACACCTAGGCCTCTCCCCCCCCCCCCCCTTTTTTTTTTTTAATAAATATTTTAATTTTATTTAGGGTTTGGCAGGGCGCTGGCGCAGGGCAGGGCGCTGGCGCAGGGCAGGGCGCGGCGCAGGGCAGGGCGCGGGCGCAGGGCAGGGCGCTGGCGCAGGGCAGGGCGCCAGCGCGCGCAGGGCAAGGCGCTGGCGCAGGGCAGGGCGCCAGCACGCGCAGGGCAGGGCGCTGGCGCAGGGCAGGGCGCTGACACAGGTCAGGGCGCCGGCGCAGGGCAGGGCGCAGTCGCAGGGCAGGGCGCTGGCGCAGGGCAAGGCGCTGGCGCAGGGTGACGCCAGGTAGGGCAGGACAGGGCGTGCGCTAGGCAGCGCGACGCGGGGCAAGGCAGGGCGTGCGCGGGGCAGCGCGACGCAGGGTAGTGGGGTAACGCGGTAACCGTAGTCGGAAGCTAAGTATGGTGGGCTCGAAAAAATACGGTCCTACGGACCTACTGCTCTGAAACCATGTGAAGAAAGCAAACAGGAAATGACTAGAAATAGGGCAGTACAAGGTTTGTATAGGCAAAACCTAACAATACTGTACCCCATAAGGAGTGCCCCACTACAGCCTACAATATAGTTATGACAGGCGTGGCTTGTGTAGGGGGGTGTGACGTGGCAAGTGGGTCGGGTTGTGGATGACAGGGCAGATGCAGAGGAGTGTGACGTGGCGAAATGTGAGGGTTGGGGATGACGTAGCTGCTGTGGTTGCACTATGACAAGTCAACCATGGCAGTCTTCAACCATCAGATGTCGTCGACAAGGTCAACAATCAACTCCATCCTCAGGCCAGCAGCATACTTCGGCATGGGCCATTCCAATCTCATGCATCTCGTGAATAGCCTGCCCCGTGAGCTACACCCAACGAGGTGGTTCAACTACGAGCAACTCCTAGCTGAGTACAGAGATGGTATGTGCAACTGGAAAACACCATATGCCCCACCAAATGCCAGTCTGAAGCTACATATCATCGTGCGATGTGGCACACCCTCACTCTCATTCCCCCACTTGTTTTCTCTACATCCCCTTTCCAACCCATGCCAGGGGTGTTGACTTCATGAGTGCTCTAGGAGTCTATGTTGCCGGAGTTTCGCGTGCGAAACCCCCCCAATGGCTGCAACCCGTACTCCCCCTCCCCACCAACCCCCCCCACCCCTGTTCCCCAATGATCCATAGGGTGTGATACACATTTTGAGGCACAAGGCCTGATCCACACACGCCCAGCCATGCACTCACCTTCGGTGAGGTCAATAATTCGGTTGAAAAGATTCTCCATCTGCTGTGTGTACTGCGTCACACTACCGAATTGTTTGTTCCAGTGAATTTGCTGCCGCGCCAAGTAGCTCGAATTCATGGGTTTGAAACTTTTAAAGCTGCCCGAAATTGCGCCCACGGACCCTCGCCTCGGATTTCTTCACTGTTGTAAATCCACTTGAGCGATGGGCCTCGCAATAATGTCCCCACGAGCCGAACAGTTTGTCGTGGTGGTACAGCCAACGGCCTTGAAATTGATTTCGAGGGTTGCGATGAATCGTCGGACGTCCGATCCCTTCGCGCTCGGATCGAACGCCTCCAGAAGCCTCAGACGTGCCGCCTCAAAATTCACCGTAGATGCCGCTGATGTTGTGTCAAATGTCGGTGTCGCCGCTGCCGTCGCTGCTGCTGTGGCGGCTGCCAATTGGTTCGCGAGTAGCGCCTCAATTCGCTGGAGTGCCGCTCGCGTCTAGTCCAGGTCGTTGCAAAGGGTTGCGATCCCGAAGTCGTTGCCTTGTCCCTCCATGCCTGTTGACATCGAGTCCGAAAACGAGAATTGAGGGGGAACGAATAAAAACCCGGAACCGTTATTACGTACCTGAAATCGGTGCTTCACGTTCGTCGCCCCCGCGGGAAAAAAAAAAAAAAAAAAAAAACAGTATGAGCGGTTGATTTTTTTTGCATGCATACGAGCTCTGATTACCAAGCGTGAGGATCGAAGAACTAGTTTAAAAATGATTGATTGATCACCTGGGTACAACACGAGGCTATATATAGTCTCGACACAAGGCCTAGTAACAAGGTGTTACACGAAGGTTTCGAGGGTCGCAAAGCGTCCCTAATGGAGCCTTCCCGAATTCGGTAGAAACCGTTCGGTGGAAACCGAATAGCACGAATTCTAGTTCGGTGTCAAAACTATAATATAGTATAGGAAAGCACTCAACCTAGCAGATCAAGCAAAAGCATGCATAGTAAATTTAAGCCTAAGCTAGATAAAGCATAATAAAGTAAAAGCAAGCAAATAATGCATAGCAAAGCCGTCGAACTCTCACAACATTCACCCAGAAAATGCTGACGACGACTCTCGACGGGACCAATATTTTACTCGGTCGTGATTGGTTGTGACGACACAACCCGCGAATCAACTGGACGACGGGTGACTGCACTGTGCGAGTGAACGGTAACAACGTCGCCCTACTCCGCTGGAGCTCGCCTGAGACTTCGTCGGTGCGTGTCAACGCGATCACGATGAAACGCGCCGTAGCGGCAGGAGCTGACGATGCGGTTAACATTTGGGAAGCCGAGGGAGCAGACAAGCCGAGCGATTTGCAGAAACTGCTCGCCATCGTACCGAATGACTTGGCAGCGTTATTGAAGAAGTACAGCGGGATTTTTCTGGATGACGTACCGGAGGGGCTGCCACCTCAGCGAGCGCACGACCACAGGATAGAATTAGAGCTGGGGATAAGCCGGCAGTATAGCGATAGTTATGACAGAAGAAGTCCGAACTGGACGAACTGCGGAAGCAGCTAGATACTTGCTTGAGAAAAAAATTCATTCGCCTGAGTTTGTATCCCTTCGCAGCACCAATACTGTTCACTCCGAAGGACGGGAAATTTTGCATGTGCATAGATTACCGCGCATCGAAGAGGGTTACTATCAAATCCCGTTACCCCATCCTGTGAGTCGACAAACTTATCGACCAACTTCGCACAGCCTGAGTCTTCTCGAAGATCAATCTCCGAGGGGGTTATAATGAGATCCGATTCAACCCACCTGACTACCCAAAAACCGCCTTCCGCACCTTCTAAGGCTCTTACGAATACACTGTGATACCTTTCGGACTAACCAACACCGCCGCCAGCTTTGAAATGACCATGAACGAAGCCTTCCAACCACTCTTAGATAAGTGTGTAATCGTCTACTTAGACGATATACTGATCTACAGCCCAGACAAAGCACAAAACCTACAGGACATTGAAGCTGTTTTTTAAATACTGAACAAGAACCGCCTACTGACAAAAGCTTCCACATGTGAGTTTCTATAGGAAATACTTGAGTTTTTGGGACACATCATTTCAGCTGACGGAGTGGAAATAGACCTGAAAAAGAACGCGACGAATCAAGCATGGCACGCGCCGACAAACTTGCCTGGATTGCAGAGTTTTTTGGGGTTTGTCACCTACGTGCGTCGGTTTGTCCCCGACATGGCAAAGCTGACTGCCTCGCTAACGGATCAGCTAAGGAAGGGGGTTGAGTACACGTGGGGGGAGAAAAAGCAAGCTGCCTTCTCCGCCCTAAAAATATGTGCTCGCCGCCCGTACTGCACATTGCCGACCCTCACATTGACACAAGCGATATCACCGTGTGAGAGAACGAGGGATGAGTGAACTAGGAAGCAAGTAGGAAAACCTAAAAGTGTTGTACCCCATATTGTCTACCCCACTACAGCCTACACAGACTATAGCATATGAGTTTGACACACCCCCATAGGCAAAGTGGGGGAGAACAAGAGGTCACAAGACCAGTCAAGCAAAGCAAAGCAAGCTCAGGGTGGATCACAACGTCACCACACATTCCGAGCACAAGTTCAAGGCCACAAGGCCAGTTCACATACAAGATCATATATAAAGGTAAACAAGCAAGTGCAGGTACAGAAAAATCACAGTACAAGCAAGGTCAAGAAGTGAGCAAGTGAGGCCAAGTAGGCACAAGACCTAGCATCGTACAGAAGCGCTGATGATCACAAGGCGGAAGTGCCTTGATAAAGATATCAGCAGTGTTGGCCTCAGAGGCCACGTAAGCAAGGCGCAGCTGACCACGCTGCTGCAGCTCACGAGCAAGAAAGTAGCGGAGAGCAATGTGCTTCGTTCTGTGCTCCAGTCTGTGCTCCCGACACAAGGCCAGCATGGCCTTGTTGTCTACGTACAGGAACTGGAGGAGAACGAGGCGGCTCTCCAAGGTCAGTCAGCAGGTAGGTGAGCCAGCGTAGCTCCTGTGCAGCCATGGCCCCTGCGTAGATCTCAGCCTCACAGCTCGAGCTGAGAACAGAAGACGAGCGGGTAGACCGCCACGAAACAGAACCGGAACCAAGGCTGAAGGTGTAACCCTGTGACGACCGCTGCGTAGCCAAGTCGTCAACCCAAGACGCGTCTGCGTGACCAGTGAGGACCACTGGACTCCGCCCTCCAAGCACTAGCCCCATGCCCGACGTACTGCACAAGTAGCGCAACACCCTCTTCGCTGCAGCCATGTGCTCAGGGAGGTGTCTCCCAGGAGCAACATAGCGTGCCAGAATGCTGAGAGGGTATGCAAGGTCAGGTCGTGTGCAGGTCATCAGGTACATGAGGCAGCCAACAAGCTCTGGGTACGGGCCACTCGGCTCTACGGACTCATCCGAAGGCAGAGCTGAGAGCGAGTGGCGAGTAGACAGAGGAGTGGCCTGTGGCGAGGAGTACGTGAAGCCGAAGCGCTGAAGGACCTGCTGCACCATGTGTGACTGAGTCAGGGTAATGGTGCGCTATGCTCTGTCCCGGGTGATCTGCAAGCCAAGGTAGCTGCGCAGTTCACCCAGGTCTGTGCACGTGTGTCTCTTCTGCAGCTCGGACTTCACGTGGGCGAGTCCAGCAGTGTCAGCTGTGGCAAAGACCAAGTCGTCGACGTACACGAGGATGTAGAACGGCGGCAAAGAGGTGTCGGTGCGCAGAAACAGCGACGGGTCAGCAGTAGAAGGAGCAAACCCAAGAGCCGCAAGTGTAGTCCTCAGTGTGTCGTGCCACTCACGAGGTGCCTGGCGGAGACCGTAGACTGGCCGCCGGAGGCTCCACTGGGTGCCAGGAGGAAAAGACCCAGTGAAGCCAGGTGGGCGGCGCAGCCAGATCTCCTCGTGCACGCTACCCTGTAGGAAAGCAGTGCTGAAGTCAAGAGAGTGAAGCTCGTAGTCGCGCTGAGCGGCTATGTGCAGTAGCACCCGAAGAGTGGTCATCTTCGGGGTGGGAGAGAAGGTATGAAAGTAGTCAACTCCCTGCCGCTGACTGAAGCCTCGAGCCACGTAACGCGCCTTGAAGACAGGCGGAGAACCCGGCGGCCGCTTCACCCTGAAAATCCACATGCCACTGACGATGTTCGCCCCAGGTGGGGGAACCTCGTCGACGTAGGTGCCTGTGGACTTCCAGGAAGCCATCTCTGCGTCCATGGCTGCCTGCCACTGAGAGGAATAGGGACCCTCTATCGCCTCCGCGTAAGAGCGCGGAGTCGGGATGTCTGGTGCATCCGGGTCTCCCTCAGGGGCCAGCAGCATGGACACGAGATGAGGTGAAGCAGCAGCAAAGCACTGGAACTCCTCCTGCCTGTCCTCAAGGACGTCCGTGCCAAGGGCACACTCACCCCCGACGGACGGAGGACAGACAGACTCAGACTCAGCGACAAGACTAGCAGCGTAGTCTAGACGACAGCGAGCAGCAAAGTCGACAAGCTCAGAAACTAAGGCAGACGCAGCAGTGGACTCGAAGGAAGGGTCAGTGACGACAGTAGCAAGGAGACGCGTGACAGTAGGACTGGCAGCACGAAGGGAGTCCGACTCTGGGTCAGCAAGAGCAGGAAGAGAGGACTCAGGAGGAGAAGGCAAAGGGGCACGCAGCGGAGCAGTGGAAGGACGCAGAGACATCCGGTGCGTGCCGGGGACAGGGGGAGGACGCGGACGCGAACCACGACCACTAGTGCGAGCAGCACGGACAGGCGACGCAGGACGAGACGCAGGCTCACGACGCTCAGCAAGACCCCCAGTAGGACCGGTGTAGGGAGAAGGAGCAGGCAGTGGGGAGGCTGGCTGTAACTGTGACTCAGACTGGAGAGGCGGCGGACACTCTAAGAGAGGAGCAGGACTAGTAGAGGGCGCAAGACCAAGAACCTGCTCAAGGAGCGGAACGAAGTACGGCCGCGGCCGTGCAGCACCTCCAAAACCAGCAGGAACAGCGCCAGCACCACGAACGGCAGCACCAGCTCTAGTAGCACCCCCAGCTCCAGCAGCGCCAGCAGCTCCAGCTCCAGTAGCCCCCCCAGCTCCAGCCGCGCCAGCAGCACCAACTCCAGCAGCACCAACACCAGCACCCTCAGAAGCACCAGCACCAGCAGCACCTCCACCGCCAACACCCCCAGCAGCTCCAGCTCCAGCCGGACCACCAGAAGACGCAGCGGGTCCAGCTCCAGCACCCTCAGTAGCACCGACGCCCGCAGCACCACCAGCTCCAGTACGAGAAGCACCCACAGGCCCAGCAGCTCCAGTACTCCCAGTACAAGCACCTCCGGGACCCGCGGCACCAGCACCCTCAGCAGCAGCAGAACCTCCAGCACCGGGCAAACCACTCACGCAGCTCCTGTGGAGAGAGTAGCTCCCGCCGGGACGAAGCACCCGAAGAACCTCCAGGCCCAGCACCGCCAGATGCCACACGAGCAGGTCCAGTACCCTCAGACTCCGCACCCCCAGACGCAGCACCCCCAGGCTCAGCACCCCCAGACGCAGCACCCCCAAGCGTAGCACCCCCAGGCTCAGCACTCCCAGAGTCAGCACCCCCAGGCTCAGCACCCCCAGAGTCAGCACCCCCAGACCCAGCACCCGCAGGCTCAGCACCCCTAGCAGCACCAGAGTCAACAGCTACCTCGACCGGCTCGACTGCGTCTACCTGAGACACACCTGAGGGGGCAGGACCCTGAGGGGGGAGGGGGTCTACCGGAGGGGGACCTGGCGTAAGGAAGAGCGACGGGGGGGGGAGGGACGCAGTGCGGTAGGGGAAGAGACGGTAGTAGGGAACCGACTCGTCAAACGTGACGTCCTGGGAGGACAGAACACGGCGCGAGGTGGGGTGGTAGAACTGCCAGCCCGGCGCGTCAGGGGGGAAGCCAAGGAAGACGCAGGGAACAGCACGAGGGGACAGCTTGTCCGCAGACAAGTCGTGGACAAACGCCCGAGATCCCCAGACACAGAACGCAGACGCATCGCCAACCTTACCCGTCCACAGCAAAGCAGGGGAGGTCTCCGGCATGGAGACCCGGGGCTGAAGGTTGATCTGAAGCGCCGCGTACCGAACCGCAAACGGCCACAGAAAATGGGGGGCAGCCGCATGGACCATGGACGTACGAGCGACGTCCATGACCATGCCAATGCGGCGCTCAGCAATCCCATTTTGCTGCGGAGAGTCCGGAAGCGTGAAGGTCTGGCGGATGCCTCGTGCACGACAGAAGGCTCGCAGAAGGTCAGAGGAGAATTCTCCGCCTCTGTCAGAGTGCAGACGCAGAACAGGAAAGTCCGAGCCGAAACTCTCTCTGAGCAGGAGACGAGCTGCGCGGATCCAGGCGATCAACACCTCAGTGACCTCACCCTTGCTGCGCAAGGGGAAGATTGCGGTGTAACGCGAGTAGTCGTCAACCACCAGCAGGAAGTAACGCTCGTGACCCTGTCCACGGACGCGGGCTGGGCCCCACACGTCCATGTGAAGCGTCTGCAGCGGAGCCTCTGTCGGAGGAAACTCGGAGGAGTGAGGAGCAGCGCGCTGCCGCCCCTCGACGCAGGGAACGCAGGTGGGGGCAGGCCCCGGAGGAAGGGGAGGGAGGGACCGGGGGAGACCAGAGACAAGGACACGGGAGGCCATGCCTCGAAGACGAGGCAGGGAGGGGTGACCAAGGCGGTGGTGCCATAGGAGAGTCTGGTGAGACAGGAGACGACACGAGCAGGGGGCAGACTCAGGACCAGACCTGGACGCCGCAGCAAACACCTGACCCGACGCGGCTACCTGAGCAAACTCAGCGACCGGAGGAGACTCAGTAGTCATTGTGTACAGGCTCGACCCCGGCTGACGGGTAAACGTGGCCAAGTGACGGCCCGTCCGAGCACAGGTACAGTGGGTCACTCGCTGACTCGCAGGAGTGAACTGGTGAACCCCTCCATCCTGGAGGTCAGCACCACTCACCAAGTTCGTAGAGAACGAGGGGAGGTAAAGACCCGACAGGGTGCCAGAAGGGGCCGCCGGACACGGTAGAACAGTGGAGAAGTGGGCAAGGACAGGACCCCCAGAGGGGTCTGCCAGGGAGACCGCAACTGGCCGACTAAGCGGCGTGAGTGTGGTGCGGTCTCGAAAGAAGGAGCGGGAAGCACCCGAGTCAAGGGTGAAGGTGTGGGAGGCCTGAGCCGACGTGGTACCTGAGAGAGCAGACTCACCAGCACCTGGGGCAGAAGACTCACTAGCACCTAGAGCAGCAGCCTCACCAGCACCTAGAGCAGCAGCCTCACCAGCACCTAGAGCAGCAGTCTCAATGCCCGGGTCAGGCGGAACACACAGGTAACAGTCACCCTCATCACTAGTAGGCAATGCATACATGGCAGTGAGGATAGCATCATAGTCAAGAGTATAGATATCTACCCTCAGCCTAAGCAGCTCCACCCAGTCGGGGAGCTCAGCCGCGTCGCCAAACTCCGTACGCCAGGCGTCGCTCAGACGGGCGAAGCAGCGGGACTCTGCGTGACCAAACGTCCCGCAAGGCTGACCAGTCCGAGCACCAGTGCGAATGACGTACGGACAGCGAGCAGTACCCCGTGACCCGTCACGCTGAGCGTACCACTCACGAAGCTGCTGGGGTGAAAGGACCGCGCACGGACGACGCTGCAGCTGCACCTGGCCACTACAAGCAGCTGCCGAACTACTCACTCCAGGACGACTCCCACTACGGCCACACCGACAACCCCAAGTAGCGTACCACTCACGAAGCTGCTGGGGCGTGAGGGACTTACGCGGACGTCGCTGGAGCTGCATCTGGCCACCGCCAGGAGCAGCAGGAGCAGTGGTAGCCGCAGTAGTAGCAGCAGTAGCAATAGCAGTAGTCGCAGCGCGGCCACCCCTACAACCCCGACTAGCGTACCACTCACGAAGCTGTTCGGGGGCGAGGGACTCACGCGGACGGCGCTGGAGCTGCATCTGGCCACGCCAGGAGTAGCAGTAGCAGTAGAAAGAGCAGTAGCAGCAAGAGCAGCAGTAACAGCAGTACGTGCAGGGCAGTGCTCACCAGTGGCGAGAAGGGCAGGCGTACGACGGCGGCAATGGCGAGGCCGCGACCACTGTAGGGCGAGGGCTCCGCAGCAGCTGCAGGGGCGGCTGCTCCAGGGGCGGCTGCTGCAGGGGCGGCTGCTGCAGGGGCTGCTGCTCCAGGGGCGGCTGCTCCAGGGGCGGCTGCTGCAATGGCGGCTGCTCCAGGGGCGGCTGCTACAGTGGCGGCTGCTCCAGGGGCGGCTGCTGCAGGGGCGGCTGCTGCAGGGGCGGCTGCTGCAGGGGTGGCTGCTCCAGGGGCGGCTGCTGCAGGGGCGGCTCCTCCAGGGGCGGCTGCTGCAGGGGCGGCTGCTGCAGGGGCGGCTGCTGCAGGGGTGGCTGCTCCAGGGGCGGCTGCTGCAGGGGCGGCTCCTCCAGGGACGGCTGCTGCAGGGGCGGCTGCTGCAGGGGCGGCTACTGCAGGGGTGGCTGCTCCAGGGGCGGCTGCTGCAGTGGCGACTGCTCCTGGGGCGGCTGCTTCAGGGGCGGCTGCTCCAGGGGCGGCTGCTGCAGGGGAGGCTGCTCCAGGGGCGGCTGCTGCAGTGGCGGCTGCTTCAGGGGCGGCTGCTGCAGGGGCGGCTGCTCCAGGGGCGGCTGCTGCAGTGGCGGCTGCTGCAGGGGCGGCTGCTCCAGGGACGGCTGCTGCAGTGGCGGCTGCTCCAGGGGCGGCTGCTGCAGGGGCGGCTGCTCCAGGGGCGGCTGCTGTAGGGGTGGTTGCTCCAGGGGCGGCTGCTGCAGTGGCGGCTGCTCCAGGGGCGGCTGCTGGGGCGGGGGTGACGCCACGCGGGTCCCGCAGGGGCGTCACGACGCACAGGAGCCGCGCCTCGCGGGTCCCGCAGGGGCGTCGCGACGAGGCAGGGGCGACGCGGCGGGGCCGCGACTGGCGACGGGGCGGGGCCGCGACTGGCGACGGGGCGAGGCCGCGACTGGCGACGGGGCGGGGCCGCGACTGGCGACGGGGCGGGGCCGCTACGGGCAGCGGGGCGGGGCCGCGAAGGGAGCCGCGAGGGAGCCGCGAGGGGGCCGCGAGGGGGCCGTGAGGGGGCCGCGAGGGGGCCGTGAAGGGGCCGCGAGGGGGCCGCGAGGGGGCCGTGAAGGGGCCGCGAAGGGGCCGCGAAGGGGCCGTGAGGGGGCCGTGAAGGTGCCTCGAAGGGGCCGTGAAGGGGCCGCGAAGGGGCCGTGAAGGGGCCGCGAAGGGGCCGTGAAGAGGCCGCGAAGGGGCCGCGAAGGGAGGCCGCGAAGGGGCCACGAGGGGCCTGAAGGGGCCCGAAGGGCCGTGAAAGGGGCCGCTACGGGGCCTTAGGGGAGCGCGACGGGCCACCAAGGGCAGGGGACGCGACGGGAGGGTAGGCACACGGGGCGCGACCCGGGCAGGGGCGAAGCGCGCTCCAGGCAGAAAAAAAAAAAATCGATATTCGGTGGGCCCTAGGAAACGTTCCCACTAGGGAACCTGCTCTATACCATGTGAGAGAACGAGGGATGAGTGAACTAGGAAGCAGGTGGGTACAAGTAGGAAAACCTAAAAGTGTTGTACCCCATATTGTCTACCCCACTACAGCTTACACAGACTATAGCATATGAGTTTGACACACCGTGGGAGCAGTTTTGTTGCAGGACTTTGGGAACGGCCTTCAGCCAATCGCGTACGAGTCCAGCAAGCTTCACCCGCTCGAACGCAACTACCCATACACGTCCACAAGATGCTAGCAATCGTGCATGCGCTCAAAGTGTGGCGACGTAACAAGAGCCGACGTAACAGTACAGACAGATCACCACTCACTACGATACCTTTGCGCCCAACCGATTCTCAACCCCGCGATGGATACGGTGGTTGGACTATCTAAAGTCCAATTTTAACTATAATGTCATGTACAGAAAAGGAACATCACTAACGCACTCACTCGCCCTACTGCCCAGCTTCACACCCCCTACACGCCCAAACCTACCCACTGCTAACAAGCCTATTCATCCACGAATATCGCATGACCCATTTTTCACTACTTGAAATTCGCAGCAAAGGGAGTCTACTATGTAAAGATTGGCACCAACCACATCTGGGTACCAGCATATTCACTGTTAAGGGAACTGCTACTTCAAGAGGCACATGACAGGGTTACCTCGGGTCATTTCAGAAAAGAAAAACCACGAGAGCAACTTCAGCGATATTACTACTGGTCGGAGCTGTTGACCGACGTACAGCACCACGTGGGATCGTGCCCCACGTGTTAGGTGATGAAAAGCTCGTGCAATTAAAAGGGGGGTCAATTGCAGCCGATCCCACCGCCCGAGCGTGCCTGGCAACAGGTCACCATGGATTTCGACGCGGTTATGGTTGTCGCTGACCGATCTACGAAAATGGCCCACTTCGCTGCGTGCAGGAGATCGATCTCAGCCGAAGAAACCACTCGTCTGTACATCGCGACCGTCGTTCGACCGCATGGGATACCAACCGCGACTATCAACGACCGCGACATGAAGTTTACAAGCAACTTCTAGAAGGACCTTTGGGAGCGGTTTGGGACCCAACTACAGTTCAGTTCGTCGAACCATCCCATGATCGGTGGTCAGACGGAGCAGACGAACCATACCATGGAGTAGCTGATTCGTGCCATGTGCGAAGACCCGAGAACCTGTGAGCAGAAGTTGCCGCTGATCGAGTTTGCCTACAACAACGCCATGCCAGCGATGACGCAGAAGTCACCATTTTATATTGACTATGTGCCCATGACGCCGAACCAGGACAACCCGACACCACGCGCACAACAGTTTTCCGAGATTCTGCAAGCTACCCGAACACGCGCAGCAGAAGCAATTAAAAAAGTCGAGTGACATACCAGTCAGGAGACTACATACTGCTCAACACACAGAATTATCGACTGCCCGTAGTACCAAATCTTCGACCAAGCTACTGTGGACCTTTCCAAATCAGCCACATGGTCACCCCAGTGACTGCCCATCTACTATTACCGACAGACTGGTGCATCAGCCCATCGTTCCACGTCAGTCTACTTTGCCGATACATTGCCACCACGAGCCAACTCCCACGCCATTGCCCGCCATTGATGACCCGTCCTGCATCGGAGCTGATCGTCGACCCCGAGAAAATCCGAGCCATTGGATTCGCCACCCCATGGGAATTCGGAGGACTGAGTCCCTCGTTCGCTGTACGGACCACATTCCGACAGAGGACAGCTGGGTGCCCCTGGAAAACGTTGAAAACCACCCTGCCCTGCAAGTGTACCTGCGAAGCCGGGGTTTCCGTGATATACACGCACTCGCGTAGCGGAGGGGCTTCCTCAGGGGGGGGGGGGGGGGGGGGGGTAGGTAGTGTACGGATTTTTTTGACATTCCTTACTGTGTGCTTCAACATGCACAATTAGCCAATGTTCGCCCGTTACAGTTAATGTGGCTTCGCTAACCTTCGCGCGCACAATTCAACAAACCATGCATCGCTGGCTCGGCCGTGTCGACCTACGCTTCGGGGCTAGCTTGAACCTTGTTGCCAGCGTCGCACTAGCTAGCTTGCACACACCATGTAACCGTTTGCATGTTTTCGTCCAAGGATTCGCTCATGCATTCTGTAAGGATTTTTCCTTTTTCCTTACCGGGGTTGACTGCAACGCGTACAACCATGACAATTCGGACTTCGCACATTCGGCCGACATCCACAATCCCGAGGCTGCTCCGCGTCGCCTTCAGTCTTCCGATCGCCAAAACTGCACCCAACCTCGCATCCCCGAGGTTCCCTCCTAGCAAGGCTTGTCACTATCTTAGCACGTGCCTTCATTGCATTGTCAGTTCATTGAGTCATATTCTCACTATTCGTTTTCTGCGCACTCTATTTAACAACTCATAACACACGGTATTTGGGCTACTTTCGTAGTTCACCCTAGCTTTTGAGGGTTGTTTGGTGGCACGAGTTGGTTGGTGCAGTGGACTAAAAAATGGTTGGCTGCAAGGTTCGTTAACACTAACCTGCCCGACTCCGATAGTTTTTGCTTTTCACTTGCCTGAAGGCCACGTATACCCCTCTGCCAACCGGACGAAGCGTGCGACTCATGGACCAAGAGACGATGAACAAGATGTTGGCGCAAATGGCAGAAATTCCGGCAACGGTGAAGACATTACCAGAAGAAGTGACAACACTATGGTACAAAAACGTCGAGCTACACCAAACGCGAGGTGAAGCGCATCAGGAGTCGGCTGCTGAAGAAGGTGACACCACCAGCCATGGAGTGAGTGGCGTCGTTACAAGTGGCGAGCTGACACGCGGCAATGACGAGAGCGAAAGGTCGGCGGCATCAGCAGCAAAAGCAATTGCAGTAACCACAATCAATATAAAGCATGCGAGCCCGCCCCCGTTCAACCCTTCCGACAAAGCAACTACAGTCAAGGGGTGGCTGTTGTGTGGAAGTTTCTTCACTGCAACGCGAGTTGATGATGACGCCATGCATATTAATTAAGCGGTTTCACTGCTCCAAGGACCTGCCCTGGAATGGTGGCGACATACCTTGGATACAGGGACCCCGACAGGTGTGACACATGCGGCAGACGAGACCTCGACTTTGGCTAATCAAGTGGCAACATCAATCTTCGGTGTGATCGAGATTCGCACGTGGAAGGAGTAGGGCACGGCCTTTACGAGATCTCTTCAAGCACGTATCCGCCTCGGAGCAAGCTCGCATGAAGTTGCGTGCTTGGTCGCAGCTGGCTTCTGTTCAAAACTAAACAGCGTTATTGATGGCTCTTGCCGACCAAGTGGACGACATGGCAGAATTGGACCAAGTATATCAGTGGCCTGAAATACGAAATACATTTCGAGGTCCGCTGAAACCGCCGACCGCATTTCTGGAAGCTGTACAACTGGCGGAGTCCACAGATGCGCTGATGCA